TCTGAGCGCGCGAGTGAGTGAGTGAGTGAGTGAGTGAGTGAGTGAGTGAGTGAGTGAGTGAGTGAGTGAGTGAGTGAGTGAGTGATTGAGTGAGTGAGTGAGTGAGTGAGTGACTGAGTGACTGAGTGACTGAGTGACTGAGTAAGTGTGAAAATGAATGCGCATATTAATTATTCACATATAAGATACGAATCGACACATGCGACGGAATTAAAGAAAGCTGGCCAATGTTGGTTACGTCAGAATGACATTTGTACCCGTGTTAAGTGTGCCTACTCGCAGGAAACGACAGATTGCAAATTGCGCCATTGAATTATTAAGAAGTCCGCCTTTTTACTATGCAAGTTCACTAAATTTATTTGCTTTATATGTCTCGTCCGGTTCGAAAGCTTTTAAGATCGCCATGCTGTTTTTTTCCTCAAATTAAATTTTAAGACGCCGAACTTGTAGTGCTGGCATTCAATTGCTGAATTAAAAAAACTGCCAAGGAGTTTTATTCTGTGCAACGGGTTTCTCGTTTGAAACAGTCGAAGTATAAAAATTTTAAATGTTGAAATTTAACATTTTATGCAGGTTTGGTTGGCGACTTAATGAAAATTTATAGATTGAAAATTACAGTCAATGATAGGAGGCAGAGGATAAATGCCCCATATAAATGATTCATACTGCTCTTCCGAAGGCTGAGCACATGACACGTGCCACTACCGTTTTATTGCTGTATAAACATTCGCCTGTTTACTACAATTTTTTCTCCTATGAAATATTCTGCTGTTGTAAAATTATTCTTGATTTACTATTGCCAATTGTTGAACATTTTCTAATAAAGACTAGCTTTAATTTCTTTCTTTCATAAAAAATGTTTCCTGCAACACAAAAGCTGTTCACTTACATTACAATGCACGTCACACATGTGTGAAAACGCAGTTTACAACATTAAATATGAAAAAATTATGAAACGAGACCAACTTCAAATAACAACATGAACTTAATTAACTTGTCATTAACAACACAAGCATGCTATTAACCTTTTGACCTATGGAGGTTTTGAAAAAAATTAGATGCCACAACTTTCAATAAACCAAAAAAAAGCTATTTGTCAGAAGAATAAAAAAAAATAAAAAGAGCTTAGATGTAAAGTTATGCACATGCAGAATGTATCCATGGAAGAGTTTAATCAGTCGAGAAGTGACCGGCCGATGATGGATGGCTGTATGCAAAATAACCTGTTTCTAATTGTGGTACCATCCAAACAACATCATCTCATGATCTTGTCGGCATCATAGAATCTCATCCTTTCAAAATTATATCCATATTGTGTCATGATTTTGTCGACAGCATCATCACCCTCTCACCAACCTATCAACCCATCAACATTATATCGTGATTTTATCAAAATTTTTTCAAAATATCTTCATTTTATCTAAACCACTTAACATAATTATTAATTTCTCCATTCATATCATCATGCTATCGACATCATATCACGACATCACTTCATCATCCTATTAATTTCTCCCTTCATATTATCACCATCATCCTATCAACATCATATCACCACATCACCACATCCTCTTGCCAACAGATCATGCATGATTCTGCCAGCATTCATCTACATAAAAAATATTCTCATTCATTAACCACATTCAGCAGAGCTATAGTTCCAACATCACTTAGCAGCTTTCCAATCAAATTTAAAATCAACATTCATTAAGGCATTCATCCAATTTTTTTTAAATCCATTCACTCCAGAGGCATTGACAACATCTTCATGTAAACCGTTCCAAATGTTTGATACTCTAATATACCAATAATTCTTTCTCAAATTGAAGCTAAATGGTAAAGAGTTGATCCTCAGACTATGACCTATTACACGATGATTTATTTTCCTATTTCTGTAAAACCTTTTCTACCTTCTCTTTGCATCAAATTGAATAACATGATAAAATCACCACGTACTCTTCCGTACTTCAACGTTGACAGTTTCAAGTATTTCAGGTGATCAACATATATCATATGAGAACATAACCTCATCATTTTGGCTGCTCTTTTTTGAATTCTTTCCCAAAATTACATAAAGTATTTTTGAATCAAAAATTATTCTAGCTGTTCTTTCAAACGAGTGTTTTGACGTCATTTGTTGCATAGAGTTTGTTTTTTTTTGGTTTTTTTAAATTCGCAAAGAAAGGAAAAAATTTGGAGAAACGATAAACAAACTGCCATGTCAAAACCCTCGACATATTGTTTTAAATCTTCCTCAAAAAAAATTTTATTTACTCGTTTGTATAATGTAATTATTTACCTTTCATTAATAAACTTATCATGTGACTGTGTAACACATTTTCTTGACAATTATACAATTATTCAATTACGATGTCGTTTTACATTCAGAAATAACGGAATGCAGCCTAATTTATTGACAAAAATATTATAAACGCAAACATAAAATTCATATTATTAAATAATAAATTATAACATTTACAAAACACACACGCAACTGTTCTTGCAAATTCGCAGATGCAAGACTCTCATGCTGCAAATATTGTTGAGATGCAAGCTAGAGATTCCACTCATGAATAGCGAAAAATAAGTATTGCATTGACATTTTAATAGAATTTTAAAAGTTAACACATACCACAAATTGAAAGAAGTTTTTATTTGAATTTTGACTCTTTCAACTGAAACTGTTTAGTTTTCATTTTTATGTCGTTATTCTATCATTACACTATCATCCTATCAACGTCTTATCATCCTATAATTATACCACCATTTCATCATCATTATCATTTTGTCGGGATATCATTGTCATCCTAATAACAACCTCTTATTATCACCGTCAAATTATCCGATCATAACTCTATTATCATCATCCCATCATCATCGTCACCACCCTTTTTTTATATTATCACCATATCATCGCCTTATCAACACTATACTGTAAAAATCAGTTAAACACTTGATTATATTAATAGTGGTGTATGTGATGTATCGTGTGTATATCTATAAACGCTCTGTTTCTAATATGTTTATACACAATATATAATATTATTTTAGAATAGAAGAACCAGATTTGTAATGAAATTTTTGTAAAATTTAATTGCTTACATTTAAAGGTTTTAAAATTAATGATTAAGGTGAAAATTTTCAAAAATTTCACATTGAAGAGAAACCTTGGGACCCCAAGCTATCCATTTCATTTCATTTATTGATTTAATTTTTTAACATCGTTGCTTTCATGTTTTTCTGCCTCTTTTCTTGTTGAGATTTATTCGCGCTCATAGAGATCTGGGAGAATGTCTTAAAATACAAGTACTTTTTTGTATAAATCCATACATTAAATCACACACACACGCACACAAACACACACACACGCACACACACAGATATATATATATATATATATATATATATATATATATATATATATATATAGGCTCTCGTAATATTGCCGTTTCTGAACCAACTGTTTGGAACAACCTGCCTGCTGCTCTCAGAAATCCGGACCAAACCCTGCGTCATTTCAAGAAGAAACTGAAAACTCACTTATTTTCATTGTAATGCATTATTGATCAATTCTTTCTGTTTAGTCGACATGTTCTAAATATTATTTCGTATTTTCGTTATATTGAATCGATTACTTTTCTGTTTATGACCAAATTTTAATTTTATTTCTGTACGATGCATTATGATTTCTCGTTTGTTATCTCAATTATGTTGCTAAGTTTAGTTTTTTGTTAGATAGCCCTTTTGAGACTCGTTTAATTAGCGCTTCATAAATGTTTCAATATATATATATATATATATATATATATATATATATATATATATATATATATATATATATATACATGATTGTTTGCTTCATATGTATTTATATCGAAGGTATGTATTTGAGAACAATTCAAAAGACGTTTTTCATAATAAATTCAATTAGATATACTATAATTTATTTATTTATATTTTTCTGTATTTGTCTGGCAAGGGGCTGTGCCATATTACTTGAAGTGAAAATAATAATGTTAGAAGGGTTACGTACATCATTCCAAACAACACGTTCACGCGCAAATAATGAAACGTCATGCCACCGGGCATCCGGCCTTTCATTGAATTTGCAGACATCTGCATCATTTGAAGGATTCACTTAATTTATTGATTTAAAAATAAATTTGAACAAAATATTTTTTTATATACAAAATTTTTTGTCATTCATTTGCCATCGCTAATGTTAGCATAACATTTGTATGTTCTTATCTGAGAACATGTTTTAATATAACTGAAATAAAACTTCAAAAATTTTTTTAAAGGATTCACGTTTACAATACAAGGATGTATTATGAAATTAAATATAATATTTAATTATTTATTATCCATACGCACGCGCACACACACACACGCACACGCACACAGCCAAACATATAAAAATATACCGTGTTACCAACCAGTCAGGTCATTATATGAATTGCTTTCATTTTTTCATTAATTTATCCGATGCTGTCAACCAAAAATTTAATATAATCTATAACACAATTTTATTATTGTTATAATTCTGTACAATTTTATTATTATTCTGTACAACTTCATTATTATTATTATTCTGTACAATTGCTGTTTAACGTGTCTCGTTTTAACGTGACTCACTGTTTATTGGCAATATAAAGTTATTTAGCCGTTGTATATATTTAAATTTAGTACTAAATTGTTGGTAAATTGCGAAAAATATGGCTGTTTTTTTTAAATTACAGTTTGATAAATGTTTTAATTTTAATAAATAGTTTTAATTTTAAACTACTGTCAGCGCAACAATTTACCCGCATTTATTCTAAAGAATTTAAGTTTATTAACAAACACCTACAATCGAACGCAATTTGAATGTTTCCGTAAACAACAACATCAATGTCTTTCCTCATTTATTAACAAATAATAATAACATCTTACCGAATAATTTTGATTATACGTTGGCATGTTGCTGTGGAGAACGTTCCAAAGGTCGGAAAGGACTTACAATGCATCAGAGATCATGCAAAACCTACAAATCTCTAAAAGCTAACATTTCCAAAGTTGAAACAGACAACGATAGCGATGGCAGACAAGCAGCTTTCAAACACACCCATAAAAACACAAAAATGCCCAAATCGTCAATACACCGATCCAAAGCTAACGCATTTTTCCAAATGGAACTCAAACCCCTCGATATCATCTCAGTTTCAAGAGACAATATACTTTTCGCTGCCAACTGTGGTACGTTGAAATGAAAAACAACTCACAACGAAGCCAACAATCAAGATATTAGAAGATTGAAAATGAAATCAAAAAATTTGAAGTTCCTAGCTCGGATCTCAATAACAGCTCTTAAAAGATGTCCTATTCTTACATTTACACTAGGATTAATACGTGCCTGCCTTTCTCTATTTTATGCTTTGTATACAAATACATATACACACGCATATAGTTGAACAAATTTAACCATTTTTCTTAACTACAGTCCTAAACTCATTGCATTACTTTAGTAAGATATTTCCAATGAGTTTCTAATTATTTTTAAGTATGCAAGCAGTAAATTGAATCGATACAATTTTTGAAAAAAAAAATCATTTTAATTTATATCTACAAGCAGATAACAAATATAAAAATGAACTCAATTTTATTCAGTGTTACAAAAGGCCAGATAACGCAAACATGCATACGAGAATATTGAAGCGGTAAAATAGTTAATTCGAAGTTTTTATTAACTTGAGATGGTGCTAAAATAAATCAACAGCAAAGTCAACAAATATCAACAGTGGAAAAAAATTCCATAAACAAAAATATTTCATAAAAAAAATTTAAGGTGTTTTCTATATATTTCTATTGATACAATTTGTCAATTTACAATTCTTGATATATCTACAGTTAGCCCTGTTCTATCCAATTTAGTTAATTTGCATTTTATTCCTCAACTTAGATTATACGTCGACGAGCGTTGAGAACTTCACACCTTATTACTCTAATGGAAAAAAAAAGTTACAAAAAATGAACTCTTTGAAAGTTTAACGTTTGAATAAATGAAACATTCTTTATCGAAACAACTTTGACGACGTTTTTTCACAGACTTTTATGGAGAATTCCCTTTTCTTTTATTTGTCGTTTGTCATCTGACCTTTGTGATATTTGTGTTGATTGCATGTAAGTTCAGATTAGATGTTTATGTACAGTGCAGTACAAAGCTTACCTCAACTTAAAAACATTGAAAGTATAAAAATGTTCATAAAAAAATTTCGGTGCTTATCTCACTGCTCACGTGACCAACATTCACTCTGCACTCACATCGGATTTGTCTGCAACACGTGCCTGCGTTTCACACTTCTTTGTTATTTATTCCATTTCTCGTTTATTATTTATTACGTTTCCCTATCTTGCTTTATATTCTTACATTCTTACATTTTATTTTTTTGCGAACTTATCTTGCGAATCTTAGTTATCAGTTAGTTCAATGCTCCACATATTAATTTTTCTTCACAAAATTTCCACAAAATCGTTTTATCGCAACATGTGCAGGCAGATATTTTTAAAAAATATAATAAGTAGAAACAAAATATGAAAAAACAACCTGATTAGATACGACGAAGGTCAATAAACAATATTTAAACTAGTGAACAACGAAAACTACGTAAACCGCTAAAAAAATATTTGTTTTAATAATTATTATAAAAATTATTAATTTATTTCAGATATGCGTGTTTTGTGTTCAAAATTGGTCAGTGAAGTTCTGAGAGCACAGCAGACGACTGATTTCTACAAGCGGGCTTTTAATTGCTGGTTCCGATTTATGGGGTAGTGTGATAATAATAAAAAATGATAATATAAAAAATTGAAAAGAGTGATGAAAAAGAAATAAATTATTAATATAATTTAGGCAGAGATCGAAACACTCGCTTATTAACTGTTTCCTTAAATAATTTAAACTACAATTAATATAAATGAGTTTCCAACACAAAATTATAAAATAGCACTAATTTTCTCTTAATAGCACTAATTAACCATCTAACAAAATTTCCCTGAAATATAAACAACAACAACTGAGGTACAGAGCAGTCAGTCGCCAGACCCACTTGCATTAACGAATATGAAAACAAACAGCTAATATAGGTAAAATGAAGTACTCTTGATGTTTTTATTCTCAGTAACGGGCCAAATCTACATATTTATCATTCAGTGGGAATTTTTTTATATAAAGAAGAACAAATTATATTATTTTTCTAGTCATTTAAACAAAATCAAAAAAGTGTCAATGACATTGTCAAGCAACGTATTATGCAAGTTCTATGTTTTTAAAAATTTTGGTTTTTTAAGTAACAAACTTGACCAGCCGTTTTCAATTTATTATCGAAATTACTTCTGCACTATCATGCGATTATATTCTTTTTCTTTTTGCTGTAGGGTCGAATCTTTTTTTCATTCTTTTTTGAATTCCTAGAAGCAAATTACTCCCGGATTACTTGTCAGTTTCATTATCGAGAAGAACTTTTCTTGCCAAACGACTTCTGCTGAATTTTAATTTTTCTCCTATTGGCCGATGCTGGTACTTCAAAACGGGGAACAACTGTTTGACAGCCTACATCTTTGTACCTTTGCCGTTCGCTTATCGTACAACTGAGCAGAGATGATTTTTTCACCTAAATGCTCAGAATTTGTTTGACATGCACAGTGAAAAGTTTTAGAAATGGTCGAAATAATGTTTTGAAAGTTACAGAAAAGTTAATTTAATTTTAATTTAATTATATTCTACCAAATTAAAAATTAACTACAGTTCCATGTTTGAATTTTATGCATGGGCGAACATGAGTGTTTAAAAGGACAGATTTTTTTGGAAAAAAATAAGATTTATCTTATTTAAGTTTTAATACAGTTTAATTACTAATAGTTAAAATATAAAAATTCTGATGTTTTTTCACCTATTTCAACACTTTTAGACGTTAACCTGCCGTCAATTCTACTGCTATTTAAAACAAGCCGAAAACAAAATGTATTAGACTCAAGTGCTTTTATATGAAATTAATACGAAAAAACAAATAAAAATCCATCGTTTTGACTATGCATTGTAAAAGAACAATTGAAAATATCTAGTGTGTGTGGCTTTATTACAATTAAATTAAAATTATAATAAACTAATGCTTTGAAGTTGAACATTCAGTTCTAGACGTACCACCATATTACTCAAATTTCAACGGTAAGTACTTTTTATTATACTTTTAATATTTGAAATTTTTTATCAACAGTTTACAACTTGAACTAATTACACTCAAAATTTTGACAACATAACACGCTCTTCAATCTGATGCACATATTAAAATATTATCATTTCAATGCACTGCAAAGGATTTTAATGTCTCAAACTCTCAATGATAAAATCAAACACATTCCCGCAAGATTGACACATGAAACAATTGTTATTCTAATTTATTTTATCTTGAAACCATCTATTTTATAAGGAAATCCGATCGAGCTTCATATGTTCAAAGAACATTTTATACTGCACCATAATGTGATGAAGAAGTGTAACATGCAGCATGTCTTGGTAATATAAAAATGCCACATGAAAGTGTAATATATGCATAATAAAAATAACAATATAGAAGTTCAATATATACGTTATAGGAGTAATGATGTAATATGTGCACAACAATGAGAGGTATAATATAAGAGTTTAATATGATGGTGTATACATGATATTTGGCAAGCATGAGTTTGATATGATCTCTGAATATAGCAGGCCATTTCAACCGCTTCAAACGATAAAATGTCTCTACTACCTATGTTAGTGCCTCAACAAATCAATAATAATTTCAAACATGATTTGATGAATGAATTTTTTTATTGATTCATACCGTTTTTATGAAAAAAAATTTTATGAATAAATTCAAAATGTAAAAAATGTAATATTTGTGTGACCGTTCTTAAAAAATTAAATATTTATTGCGAGTCGTTACGGACTTTAATATTTCAAAGTTCATTTTGAATTCTGCTTAGTGTTGTTGTTCTTCCATGTTCATGTACAAGAGTGATCGAAAATATCCAGTAACGTGCTTTAAACTTGTAGGCGGATATTAATAAAAAAGAATTGTATATATAATAATTCTCTGGTCGTTCGTGAAGCTTAACTTTGTTCCAAACATGCATTTAATGTTTATTTAAACTAATTGTCTCGTTTTCATTTAAAATAAATGTTTTTGTTTTGATCGAAGATGAATAAATTACATCTTAATTTTCAATAATTTTATTTTGAAAATAATTTCAAATTCTTTTATACTAACTTGACGATTAATTTTTGTATCTAATCAAATCTCAATCTTGATTGCATTTTAGAAATTGTTCAGACTAATGTAAATCCGCCGATCTGTTGTTTACTTGATTGTTTAAGTCTTAGTGAAAATGTTTTAGCCTAAAGCAATAAAATAAAGTAAGTCTAAAAGTTTTTTTATCTCGTAAGGATGTTTTTTCGTGTTGTTTAATGTTTAAGGCATAATTTGATTAAGAAATAAATCTAAAATGCATTTAAGTGTTCGATATTTTTTAACAATTTTTGAAAATTTAAACTTGAAATATTTCTAACATAAAACGTCAAGCACCAAAGAGCAAACAGCCTTAATAAATGGCAGTGTCCAGAGGAGGGGATTAGATGGAACATTGATACAGCAAGCAATTTGATAGAAAAGGCATCAACTCCAATCATCCCATACTTTCCATACTTGCATCAACTCCCATCAGCACATCAACTGCTATGTTCTCATCAATTTTCAATATTGCATCATCTTTGTACTTTTCTCATACTGTACGGTTCTCATACTGGTTAATTCTAAATAAAGTTTGTGCGTATCAAATACATTTTTTACGTAAAAACATTTCAGGAAATTAAAAATCGATAAGCTCCTACAACTAATAGTTTGAACATTTCAAACATGAAATATGCTTGCTAAATTTTTTAATAGTCTTTGAGTATCATCAATTTGTTAAATATTTTAATCCATTAACTTGGCAATATTTTATAATTTTGTTACGCCTTTTAACGACTGCAAAGTGTGATACCAATAAGCGGTGAAAACTTTGAATTAAGATTTTTATTTTAAATTGCAATTATAACGATTTTAATTACCGTTTATTAAATTTTTCAAAGACGAATATTAAAATCCAGTTTAAAAATATCCAGTTAAATTACTTTCAATTTAATTTTTTTAACTGTTAATTGTTTTTCAATTTGGTAATAATCAGAGCGCTAATGCAAGGTTATTAGATATAAAAGGCGATTCTTTCGTGACAGAAGAAGTAAATAAAAAAGCATTACTGCACTAATAACCCTAATTCAATGCTGATTATACGGACAGTGATTCAGCCGCTGCTTGTAACGTCATTGATGAAATTGTTTTTGAACCGGTATTATCATTGTAAGGTACATTAGAAAGTTTTTGAAAAATTTACCAACCGAGTTTTTAAAATAGATACATCACATTACAATTTAAAATAACACGCGAACGTAACTTGAGAAATTGATAATTGGGAATGATTATTTTAAAATTAAGAAAAATTAATAAAAATTTCATCTTCAAAACCAGCGTATTCAATAATTAGTTTTTTTTTATTATATTTTAAGTTGCGAAAGTTCTTCTAATCAAGTCAGTTTTTTTTTAAATTGTTATGAAAATTATGAAAATTAACTTTGGTGTTGTAAAATTGGCAACTAGCATCGTAAATAGGGTTCTTTGCTGGATTCTATATTCATTGGTATAGTTTCGCACGCAGCTTGGAATTTCCATAGGCTCTGATTTTTTGTAATTTTTCTGCATTCATTTTATTTATATCTCGGAGTTGTATCGATACCAACATCGGTCACACATGTCGAGGTTGTACGATTGAACGGCAAGAAACACATCCCAAGTTGCCCGATCCAACAAGAAGAAGTTCTAATTCCTGTATTCCAGTTTGTTCATTAACATTATTTTTAACATTATTCTAGAGTTCAGTTAGTTCAATTCCTTTTCATTTACTTCTGTCGATTA